TGGCCAGCACTAGAAACGTGCACAACGAATACGGGTTACTCTCTTGTGCGTCCTGCTTTTTCGTTCTTGTTGAGACGTTGCTGTGTCTGGATTTCATGTCCACTTGCCAATATTCGAGTTGAGGCCACGATTCCATGTCTCACTGACCACTGATAATCTTACATTCTGGAAATCTGTACACTGAAAGGGAAGTTTCAAGTGCACTTTCTGCACTCTCAGCTGTAGTGTGAACACTGTAAAAGCAGATCACGAATTAGGAGCCCGCCAACCCTCTTTCGCTGCCGAAGACGGCAAAGCAACTACCAAAAATTCTGCAAGAGAAAAAACCTGAAAAGATTTTATAATCTAGCAAATCCAGTATAGGAGGCGGAATTGGTAGTTTAGCGGTATGATTAGAAGTATGTGGTTACGAATTAGTGGCACAATAACAAGCGCGCAAGCCTTTCACGAACGTTTGTTAAATGGCGTTTACCCCGCGCTGATTGCAATTCAGTCATCACAATCTTACGCTACCTAATCTAACCAGCGATGTTAGCAAGCTTACCAGAGAACTTTGAATCGGGACCTGAGTAGGTCAATAGAGTTTATAAGGTCATTTACAAATATAGACAGCAAAAAAACTGCAACCTACATTTCACAGCAATTATGAGCAGGTAAAGTTGTAATGGTGCAAGTTAGGGTGTTAGGCTTGTGCGCTGATGCTGTGAAGCATAAGCGAGGAATCGCATACGTCAAATCGAGTGGTGGTGGTTCAGTGGTAAAGTTCGAACGAAGCCTGCACCCCACCTTACAAACTTTACGTGCTCAGAAGTTGCTCGTGAAATGCCGAGTTTGGCAAAAATTTTTGCTAACTATATTTGTAAATTATAGAGTCTATCGATCTACCCAGGTCTCCTTTCAAAGTTCCATGGTAAGTTGGCGGACTTCCTGGTAAGTATCTGAGTGAAGCAGGAGTGAAATGAAGGTAAACTGATCCAAATTGTCAATTGAGGCTTCAACTCTGCGCTGCGGAGATAATTCACTGGATCTTTGCAAATCCAAATTTTGAGTGTGCTCGTTACCCATTCACAAACATTGCCTCTTTCTCTACCAAGTAAGTTTGGTCATTTGAGCACTTTCATAGAACATCATGAAACCGACGGCAACTGATCATCGTTGCGAACTACGCTTCATTCACATTATCTTTTGTCAACAATCTTGGGCTAAGAAGACGGCTTTCGAACGAAAATAGACGGGATCCTGAAGAACGGATGGAGTACTTCTCTACATCGTCGAGGCTTCTGTAATTCTCGCGGAATGTGTTCGCATAGGGAAAATCTGAGATTTGTTGGCGGCCATCCAGACCAATACAGAGCACATCGTTGTTGGGGAGTTGCATTTCCTCGTTGTTGGAGGGAGGGGGTGGGTGGGCATGTTTGCCTTCCGAACTTCTGAGAGAGAGGTTGTACGAAAATTCCCGGGCAATTCCAGAAAGATTGATAGGAGGTTGGGGAAACTAAGGAGATCGATGAGGAAGGAACTAGGGGGGGGGGAGGGGCGTACCAACCGCCTGAAAAAAGGGGTACGGACTCGACAAAACCCTCAACTAATGGTGTGACCTGGACCAATCGGTGAATTACATGAGTAATGTCCGATAGCTCGGTCAAGTCGTCAATTTTGCAATCTGTGGTTCAAGTTTTTGAAGCGGGAAGCGCATATGAGCTTGCTGCCGACCTGTGTTTGCGCTATTACTATATCGAGTTCTCACCCGCATGTCCCCTTCAGTAATTACAGTAGGGTGCAGCTGATATCACTGGGTCGCAATCGTCTGTCTGCGGCGTCTCCATCATTGGTTGTTTCCTTCCTAAAGCGATCATCGCCCGATCACCATTGGTAGAGCAAAGCAGCCTGTAGGCGGGATCATCTCGCCTTCTTCACGCCGTTCCCAACTGATTGCAATGTTACAAAGTATATATAGAAAACTCTTTGGAATCACACAGCTGCAAAAGTATCAGAACATGTTTTGCAGCCAAATAACTTGCAATTTTTAACGATTTAATGGTGGTGGGGAAATTATATCAATTCTGTATGATATTCATAGCGTCAGAAGTGATAATGGGCAGTATAATGCCCACAATAAAATTATTAGCCAAGTTCCTTGTTAGACTATTATTTCCCATGTTGGGCAATATAAGAGGATTTTAATGGAATGAAAGCACCTACCAAAATGCAGTGATCACAGATTTTTTGGATACCCAGAGCAGGATACACTATCATTAAGGGTTCCCTAACAAGGGGTTAGGGAGTCGTATTTAACAGCTGAGTAGGTGATGTCGTAAACGGTGTGTCATTGGCAACGATCATCGCTGAGTTCGGGAGCGGCATTTGCTCTAAATAGCACTAGGGTGCTTGAGAAAAATCAAGAAAATTAAAACAAAATAGCGGCGCTGTTTGTCGACGGGGGGCATTTTGTATTATCATTGCTTCCCTAGTTCCGGTTTACAAATCTCTGGTAAAACTTGTGAACTCTTGTGAAGCTGAAGTAAGATCGTCTAGCCACTATCCTAAAACGTGTCAACTCGAGAAACGGCTGCCTAGATGGGTCGACACATCTATGGAAAGCAAAATGCCCCCCCCCCGTCGACAAACTAGCCAATAATTCCTTGAAGATGGTTTATCATGAGTCGCATCGTGTAGCTGATCGGCTGACCATGTCAAAGTGTGAGTGCTGTGAGGGTACAGCAAAGAAAGCCGTCAAGATGAAAGTTAAGGCTGGTCTCGATGGCGAAACGCATAGCTCACTCGGCCTCTAGGCGCGAGGTGCGGGTTTGAGCTTGGGGTCAAGATTTACGCTTATGATTTAGCGTTCTTGAGATAGGAAATTTGTTCATGATCGACGCCGAGCTGGCCTGGCTTCGCCAGGCGGCTCCATAATTTTAACGGAATTTTTTCGGTAGTGGGCTGCTCATAAGGCGCTGTAGTGATCGAATCGAAACAGACAGAGCAAGGCTTAAGATCCCGAACAACTCAGCACGCGCTTCTAGAAGCTTCTCGCCCGTAGAATAAAATCTGTAGATAGATACAATATGCAGTCGGCCAATACAGCGCAATATGAATCGCTCAGTGAAATAGCAGATTTCGTTTCCATTACCTGCACCGGAATGCCTACCGACGCGCTTTCCTTTCACTTAGCATGCATCCCCTCGTTGAAGTCTGTTTTTCGGTTCTCCTCGAATTTCCCATGAGATTCCTGTTTCAGGCGAACTACATACCCCCCCCCTCCCCCCTCCCCCGCTCGTCGACATCGACACTACAGGGGGGGGGGCAAAAAAAGTCATTCCGGCCGAGTCACATATGAGCGAAGTTTTCGCAGCCCAGACAGAGGAAGTGGATATGAGTACCAGGGCGGAAGATACCCAAGATCTTCCTCTATAAGCAGGAGCCGGCTGCCGCCATTCACCTTCATGTACACCAAAATATGAAGTCATCTCCAGTCGCACGCCTGAAGACCTTCGGACTCATGTCACTCCAAACTGCTGCGAACATTCTAGTATGGAATCACCCATGGATAGCTACCTGGAGACCAGTGCCCTTCATCAGGAAGACTTCCAACATCGGGCAGCTCCGACAACGTCGCTACGGACTAAGACATCATCTTCACCCCATTCACCAAGGCGCGGGTTGATGGTGTGGACCGGCCGTACCTGGAATGGGAAGACCGATATTTTCTTTGTAGACCCCGACTGAAGGTGAGCGCTGGCGGTTACATCAAGTAACTCGAGAAGAATATCCTCCCTACATGTCGTCGCCCGTGAGAAACTAACAGAAAAAACGCAGAGAGAAAACCCAGAGAGAACTAACAGAAAGTCCAAAGGCAAAGTGAACGATACATGCAGCAATTCAGGAAAAAATTCGCTCAGTGAAATCAAATTACGAAGTTACGAAGATAAGAAACTCACAAGGCGGCTAATTCAAAATCTGACAACAAGGCGATAAGAAGTGTTCAATCAAAACCGGAAACAGGAGACATGATAAGCAAGAGTCAATCTCAGTTAACTAGGATGTTTCATGACTAAGTAGCTGACTAGCTGCAAGCTTCTTGAACTGTCGAAGCGAATTGGGAATGGCCATATTCTTTGTAACTTTTTTGTATGTACTTGCTGGGCTCTAAATGTGAAGCTTGTGGCTCTGATCCTAGTTTTCGGGCAAGCTAAGAGGAATTTTGGCTCGCCCCCCTCTGGTTCGTGAGTCCTGTATTTTGAACAAATTAAAAGGCTTATACTTATTAGACTCATTCACAAGCTTGTAGACCATGCAAACATCCGCAAGCTTACGACGTGTTTCAAGAGAGGAGAGTTCAAAGTACTTGTTTCTAACGGAGGCTTTGGGGATCCTAGAATACAAGAAGCTCTTAGTTCTTCAAAAGAATTTTGCGGGTAAAATTGTTTTGCACTTTCTCTAACGCACAATATCTCGTTTAGTGGCGGGGAAGGACACAGTGGCCCCACTCTCAACCAAAGGCGAACGTACGTCTATATGCTTTCAAGAGACTGACTTGTTTGTGGAAGACAGACCCTTGAAAACATGAACCGTCCTCAGAAAAGCAGAGTTACATCGATTTTTGATATGTTCGGAAAAATTGAGGGTATTGGAATATCGGAAGCCAAGATCTCTGACAGAGTTGACGGGAGAAACGACTTCACCGTATATGGTGTATGGGAAAGGAAGAGCTTTCGAACTAGACGAAATCCTCATACACAATTTTATGCGGGCAAGAGGAAGGTGCCAAATTCTCGCCCAGTTACCAAGCAGGTCAATAGCTCTCTGAAGTTCTTCACAATCGGATTGCCCACTTGTCCTCTTGTAATTACATCATCTGCGTACATCTTCACCGAGACACCAAGTCCCCGAAACAGACTGGGAATCTCCGCAGTGAAAATGTTAAATAGCACTGGTGACAGAACACCGCCTTGGGGCACGCCACTATAAGCTTCTTTGTTAACAGAGTAGGCATCCCAACTCTAACTTGGAAAGTCCTGTCCCTGAGAAAATCGGTGATCCAATTAATAAGAATAGGATGAAACTTCAATTCTTTAAGTTTATGGATTAGCCTTACATGCGACACCCGGTCAAAAGCCTTGGCGAAGTCAAAGTAGATAACATCACAACAACGGTCGTTATCGACGGCATCTGTCCAATCATGGAGACATTCAATCATATTCGTCTCAACAGAGCGTCCTGGGGTGAAGCCATGTTGATTCGCCGGTATTAAGTCGCATTCAAGAGCATATTTGATGACATGCTCCTTGAGGCGTCTTTCAAAAAGCCTACAGAACAAAGAGGTGATGCTAACGGGTCGGTAATTACCGGGATCAGATGATTTTTTTTATTTATTTATTTATTTATTTAATATACACTGTATGTGTGCCCAGAACAAACCAATACTCAGCGATAAAAGCCGAGATGGTGGAGGCCAGGTTCATAGGGAGCAAACAGTTAACAATGAAACAGGGTCCTTACCCGTAGCTTGTGTCAAAACATAACAGCGCAATGCAAGTAAGACTTCACAAGACTTGAGCAACCATCCACACCAGTTGGCTATGGCGCCCTCGTTCCAGCGGAAGTCATAGGGAACATGCCAGCACTTCGGCACACACGGGTATACCAACGGCCCTCGTGGAGCTGACATGGTGGATAGAAGCGGAAATAGAAAGTTTTAAAAGATCTTGCCTGCCTCGAAAAAAAAATCGAGCACAAGCATACGGGAAAAGGAACTCAAATGAGCGACGTAATCGCGGCAAACACCCCTACGAAACGAAGCCGGCACCATATGGCGTAGCGCGGAATAAGACAGATGAAAACAAAATAGAAAAAAAATGCGCAGAGAGCTCTACAAAACTATCAACACTGAATATTAACACAAAAGTGAGGAAACATAAAAAGCGTGGAACGTCGCAACAGAAACTGCTTTTTTGTACCGACAGATCGCCGTTGACCTCACCCGAAAGAACATCTCATCCTTTTGCCATCTGAATTGATCCTATTTAGAATAAGGAGTGAAGCGAGTCCATAGTACAGATCTTCCTCAGTCTGTTCTTAAACACCTTACCGTTTCCAGATCTGAGCAACTCGGGTGGCAGCTTGTCCAGCATCCTGGCCATACGACAGAAATAGGAGTTAAACATAAGTGAATAGAATCTTTTTTGAATTTTTACATAGCTCAAGCCAAAGCTCCCTGTTCTCTCACTACAGGGTCTAAAAACCCAGTATTTGCTAGGTTTCAGCCTCGTTTCACTTCTGAGGATGCGAAAACAAAGTGTGAGGTCATTGATTAACCTCCTGTCTTTAAGGCTTGGTAGCCCCCTAACCACCATTCTAGCGCTCGCTATACTTTTGGCACGCTATTCGGTTTCGTTTTCGGGTGTACTCTAAGGTACACCAGTCTTGTGAAAGTCTGCTGTACCTTTTCCACCTTGGCAATATCTCTCTTCAGGGAGGGATTCCAAATTTGAGAGCAGTAGTTTACGTGTGGCAATACGTATGCATTATACAGTCGGACCAGCGTTTTGGGCTCTCTAAGCTGAATGTTTCGGAAAATTAGGAAGAGCGCAGCGAATGCTTTTTTAACCACCTGCTCGATCTGCAAGGAGAATTTTAAGTCATCTTGTAATACGACTCCAAGATCTTTGTGCATACTGCAGCCTTCCAGGAATGTCTCATTGATTTTATACCTCGGAGAAAAGCTATCCCCCAAGTGCAGAAGGGAGCACTTGTTTAAGTTGATCGTCAAGCCCCAAAAGGCGGCCCACTCCGACATTTTCGCTAGGGATAGGCTAAACGCTGCTTGAACTTCCTTCTTGTTGGTAGTATCGTATGCGGCATATATTTTTATGTCATCAGCATACATCTGAACCTTCACATCGGGCGAAGTAGCAATGTAAGCAGGGAGGTCCAGTGTATATACTAAGAAAAGCAACGGCGATAAAACGCTTCCCTGAGGGACACCACTTTGACAGTGGTGTCTGTCAGAGAAGCTGTGACGAACCTTGACGGTCATGTATCGTTGATTTAGAAAAGATCTCAGCCAATCTAGAAGCTGCCCAGAAATCCCCAGATGCTGTAATTTGATTAGCAATCTACGGTGGCAGACCTTATCAAATGCTTTGGACAGGTCAACAAAGACTATGTCTACAGATTTGCCACTGTTTAGAGCGGATTGCCAGTCAAATAAGCTATCTAATAGATTGGAGACCGTGGAAGCCCCACTCAAGAAACCATGTTGTTCTTTTGGAATCAAAATCTTTGATTTTCAGCCCAACCCAGTATCTTGTCCCTGACCAGTCTCTCCATTAGCTTACTTGGGGCAGGCGTAATGCTTATCGGTCGAAAATCGGAGATGTTTGCAGCCTTAGGAGATTTAGGTATGGCAGTGACTAAGGCTTCTTTCCACAGATCGGGTACCTCACCAAGAATCATAGAAATGTTGAAAATATGTGTTAATGGCAGGCATAAGGATGAAGCACATTTTTTATAGACTATCTGGGGGATCCCATCGTATGTTTCAGACGTGGAAGGTTTAATGCCTTCCAACATCTTCCGGACATCTTCTGGGTGAAAGAAGATCCCCGAAAGTCTGCTCTTTATTTGTGGAATGCCCCTAACATCTGGTACGCTTTGCTCAGAGCCAGTGCTGGAGAATATGGAAGCAAAGTATTCGCCCAATATTTTGGCTTTCTGCATATCTGAAACGTATTTCTTGCCCGAGGCATCAAGCAAAGTAGGTAACCCTGAATTATCTCTCGATTTCTGTCTAATATAGTGGAAAAGCCGTTTTAAATTAGACCCTCTCGTAAGGCGATGTTCACGATTGGAGAGAAATTTCTTTACATGGCCGTCAAGGTCCCGACACACCTTTTTGTAGAATTTATCTTCCAATGGACGGTCAAGAGAGAGAAATAATCTTTCTTTCTGAGCGGCTAAGTTCCTTAATATGTATTGGATATTTTGTTCGAGTCATTTGAGGAGCTTTGAACTCAACAAAATGAGAGAAGGCCATGTATAGTTGCTTACAGAATCTTTTGTAGACATCGCTAGCTGATGTGAAATTGTCAAACAAGGTGAGCCAATCCACACTTAGAAAATAGGAGTTCAATGAATTGTAGTTTACGCTGCTGAAATTCGGGACAGGAAGCGGTAAAGTGACTGTGGGGTCATCGATACGTTGCTTTTTGAGAATTTCAAACGAAACTACCCCATGGTCTGAAGAAGAGAGGGGTGGTAATACCTTAGTATTAGCAATAATCTGTGATGAGCATAGTATGATATCAAGAATGTTGCGGCCGTGTGTGGGCTGCGTTACGTACTGCGTGAGGTTACAGCTACTGAAAAAGTCAAGAAATCTGGACAGAGGTA